TCTCCCTACTTCAGGGTAGTGGGCCGACTACACAGCCCGTCTATCTCCCTACTTCAGGGTAGTGGGCGGACTACACAGCCCGTCTATCTCCCTACTTCAGGGTAGTGGGCCGACTACACAGCCCGTCTATCTCACTGAGACTTCAGGGTAGTGGGCCGACTACACAGACCGTTTATCTCACTAAGACTTCAGGGTTGTGATCCGACTACACAGACCGTCTATCTCCCTACTTCAGGGTTGTGGGCCGACTACACAGACCGTCTATCTCCCTACTTCAGGGTAGTGGGCCGACTACACAGCCCGTCTATCTCACTGAGACTTCAGGGTAGTGGGCCGACTACACAGACCGTTTATCTCACTAAGACTTCAGGGTTGTGATCCGACTACACAGACCGTCTATCTCCCTACTTCAGGGTTGTGGGCCGACTACACAGACCGTCTATCTCCCTACTTCAGGGTAGTGGGCCGACTACACAGCCCGTTTATCTCCTTTTTTTGTAAGTGTTTTACGACGCTCGCAACTGCATGAGGTCATATGAGCGCGTGGGACACATTAACCTTTTTCAGTTGGTAGGAAATTTTGAATTTTGCCCGGGAGGCGGCCGAAGCCTACTCTTATCGATTTTAGACCACCAAAGGATCTTTAACATGCGCAACTTGCACACGGGCCCTCCGAGATTTTTCGCCCTTGTCCGAGAAGGCTAGGTGTGGATCTTTCCTACCAGAACATCAGGGGTGTGGCTGAAAGACAGCAGAAAGAAGAAGCCAAGGAGTAGCAGTATAAAGACTTCAGGTAGGACCATGACTCCTGACACTTTCGCCTACTCCGAGGGGACAGCCCCTGATGTTGCTGAATAAGCCAGAAAGAGACAAAGCGACAATTATATATGAGGCATCGTGGTGGAATCAGGCTCTCGTCAAAATAATTAAATTGAAGAAAACAGCAGTTTTCTCCCTGCTTAGCAATTCTTTTCAAATTTTTGTTTTTTGACTCAACACGTTTTATTTCTATTTACAAACACATTTCTTCGGAAATTTCACCGAAAACGTTGATTAAAGGCACAAAAATATAAATTTACAGTTTCTATGGACTCTCCAGCTTTGGAATTTACCAATCTTTGGGGGGCATTTTCTGGCAAATTTTACCTCTTAAATCAGGTTACCCCCACCTCCTTCAATCCAAAATATCTCCACTTCTATTGAAGATGGATGGGTATTTTTTTCATTGAAAGCAAGACAAATGAACACGCTTTAAGATGATACCAATAACTCAATGTGCCCAAAAATTGACGAGAGCCTGATTCCACCACGCTGCCTCACATTGCGAAAAGACGCAACACGCATTTTGAACATGTTTACTCTGTGTATGTTGCTTTTTGTACTATATTATTTATACTCATAGAGTAAGAGTTCAACGATACATGCAACACAATAAGGTCATAAAAGTGCTGAAGATTAGGAGTGTTACAGGAGAGTAACAAACACGAAAAAGGAAGGAGGTGGGGAGACGAGAATGACAGACATTTGATAGGAAAGAAGGAGCGCCCGCCTCCCACCCACGTCGAATATCTCTGTCTGTCTGATGGAAAGCATCATCGACCACCCACAATTACACCTACACAGCAGAGTCTAGTGGGAAGTGGCAGGGAGGAGGGGGGGGGAGGATCAAACAGACAAATATAATATGAACGGCTTAGAAGTGAAGCCAGGGCAGGGCTACTGCTCGTCCTCTTGTAAAAAATAACCATACATAGAGGGAAACAAAGAAATGATTGTAGATTCTCTTTCTCTCTCTCTTTTTCTTTCTCTCTCTCTCTCCCCCTGTCTCTCTCTTCGTGTGTGTGTGTGTGTGTGTGTGTGTGTGTGTGTGTGTGTTTCTTTCTCTATACCTATCTCTATCTCTGCCCTC